TTCCTGCACAACGCCCACCCTTTACTGCCATCCAGGTCTCATTTTCTCTTTTCTCTTCCTTTCTTTCCAGAAGGCATATGAACTCACCAGAGAGAGACAGAGAGGGAGAGAGACAAAGCAACCCCGGTGGAGCATGGTCACACTGCCATCCCTTTCCCTCCAGGTCTGTATCCTGTAGGGATTGTGAGCACTCACAGATGTGCCCACCACGTTTTGCGAGTCACTGGGGCTAGGACACCGACCATGGTTGGCCATGTGGAATCCAGTTCCCTTAACCACTAGGCTTAGGGCCAGCCCAGGTCTTGTTTTCTTCTACCTTCTCTTTGTTTTGTGATTCACACTTGCAGGTAGAGTTCTGCTCCAGCAGACTTTGCTGCTGCTTTCTCCAGGCTCCCCCAGGATGGCCTTGCTGCAAAGCCAGGGACCAGGAGGGCCTTTGCGTCTGTCACCTCTCTACAGCCTGCAATGGCCTCCTCCATCCAGAAACCCTGCCTTTCCCTAGCTCCCATGCCACCTCCTCTTGGGTCTTCCTTTCCATTCCCTGGCACCCCCACTTTGCCAGCCTTCTTTGTAGGCTCCTCTCTAAGGCATCCCCTAATGCTGGCGTTCAAAGGTTCTGGCCCAGGCCCCCTCTCCTCTCACTCCACACTCACTACCCCAGCTTCAGAAGCACACACCGATGGCTCTCAGGTACGTCTGTCTCCAGCCCAGCCCTCTCCTGAGCTCTGCACCCACACAGCCCACTTCTTACTGGTCACACTCTGGTTGGACCAACCTGGCAGATCCACGACTGCCCCTCCTCCCTGCAGCCACCTCAGGGACTGTCGCATCTAGTCGGTTACCCTAGCAGAAATCAGGCTGACCTCACTGACTCCACCCACTCTCTCCACAGAGCCCCTCACTAGAAATTCACAAGTCCTGTACCATCGACCAGTTAAATGTCTTTGGAACGATCTCCAACCCATCTGACACAGCCGCATCCACAGTCATCATACCTGTGATGTGACATGCGGGCCTCCAGTCTTGCACCCTCCAGCC